TACTTGATAAAGACGCACACAGACTTATTCACTGAAGTGATAATTGTCTGGAATTCAAAGTCCAATTATTTCTTTGTTTATTTCCAATTCATCTATTTAGGCCTTAAATGTGAAATCCTCTTTGAATTTCAGACAATTGTCAGTTTAGTAAATATCCCGTGTGTGTCTTTATCAAGTAATGTGAAGTTTGTATTTAGGCTGTTATTGTTCTGTGCGTTTCATGCGTCACTGAGGACGAGCTGGTAGTGTTAAACCCACAGAACCAAACCACAGAGATCACATGACGGCGCACACCCTGCCTTATCTAATCTTTCATTTGCTGACATTTCTTCACTTTTCTCCAGAGTACGCTGCCCTCGCTAGTTTCCTCCCCCTCCCCCATTCTCTTGCTATCTTTTCTAAATACACATATTGTTCAGATTGTATGAGACAAGGTTTATGGTCACATTGTAAATACTGTTCAGAAGTGGTAGGAGGGGGGAGGGCAAGTACCATTGAGAGGCCCAGCATCACTATTAAAAACTTAAAGTGACTTGTATTAATCATTTTTAACCATGCGGAATCACATTTGAAGGATTCAAGGAATTTTCAAAAGTTTGGGTAGCAGAGCCAAATTCCAAAACTTCAACTCCTAATAGCTCTGTTATTAGTTGGGCTACTTTGGTCTAAAATTTAAAATGGTAGTAGTGGTACAGGTAATATAGTGTGTGTATATTAGTGGTACAGGTAATATAGTGTGTGTATTGTAGTGGTGTAGGTAATATAGTGTGTGTATTGTAGTGGTACAGGTAATATAGTGTGTGTATTGTAGTGGTGTAGGTAATATAGTGTGTGTATTGTAGTGGTACAGGTAATATAGTGTGTGTACTGTAGTGGTTCAGGTAATATAGTGTGTGTATTGTAGTGGTGTAGGTAATATAGTGTGTGTATTGTAGTGGTACAGGTAATATAGTGTGTGTATTGCAGTGGTGTAGGTAATATAGTGTGTGTATTGTAGTGGTACAGGTAATAAAGTGTGTGTATTGTAGTGGTACAGGTAATATAGTGTGTGTATTGTAGTGGTGTAGGTAATATAGTGTGTGTATTGTAGTGGTACAGGTAATATAGTGTGTGTATTGTAGTGGTGTAGGTAATATAGTGTGTGTATTGTAGTGGTACAGGTAATATAGTGTGTGTATTGTAGTGGTACAGGTAATAAAGTGTGTGTATTGTAGTGGTACAGGTAATATAGTGTGTGTATTGTAGTGGTGTAGGTAATATAGTGTGTGTATTGTAGTGGTACAGGTAATATAGTGTGTGTATTGTAGTGGTGTAGGTAATATACTGTGTGTATTGTAGTGGTACAGGTAATATAGTGTGTGTATTGTGTATTGTAGTGGTACAGGTAATATAGTGTGTGTGTTGTACTGATACAGTTAATATAGTGTGTATTATTATTTTATTATTTATATAGCACCAGCAAATTCCGTAATTGTAACCAGACACACAGGAACAGAGGGGTTGAGGGCAGGGCCGGACTGGGGATTCCAAAGCAGCCCTGGAAAAAAAATCTATGCCAGCCCCATAAGTCATTGCGCCATATATTGTCGCATGTAATATGTAAGGCTATGTCTTGCCACCCTAGATGATTTATATATATATATATATATATATATAGCTTTTTCCAATATAAAATATTGGTCCTTTCAGAGTAGAATTTTTAATTATACAGTAAGCATACTCACATGCAGACACAGACAATTTCACTGACACAAGCTGATTGATACACAGCCTCATAGACAAACAATCTCACTGATATACATAAGGTCATTGACATAAAAACACAAGCCCACTCACTAGCAGGCGCGCACACACACACAGCTTAATGTAGTGGCTCTGGTGTCTATAGCCTGTCCCTGCAGGCTTTTCAATGTAAACACTGACTTTTTAGAGAAAAGGCAGTGTTTACATTGCTTCCTAGTGACAGACACTCAGACGGTCACTAGAGGTGCTTCCTGTGTCAGTGCGGATTGGCTGAGATCATCAAGCTTGATGATCTCAGCCGTAGAGGCAGGGCCAGTCGAGGGGAGACCAGCACGACGTGGGGGAAAAAAAAGCTGAGTAAAAACATGCATACACACACACACCATGACAGACACACACCATGACACAGACATACCGCCAAAGGAGATAACACACCGTGACACAGACAGAAACACACACACACAGTGACACAGACAGAAACACACACACCATGACAGACAGACACACCATGACACAGACAGACACACACACACCATGACAGAGACACACACATACCATGACATACACACACCTTAAAAAAGACACATACACCTTGACACACACATACCATAACACAGACAGACCGTGACACAGACACACACACACGACACAGATGACACACACACCATGACACAGAGAGACCGTGACACAGACAGACACACATTACATGACACAGACAGACACACACACACCATGACATACAGACATACACACCATGACAAACACACACACACCATGACACAGACAGACACACACACACCATGACAGAGACACACACATACCACGACAGACACACCTTAAAAAAGACACATACACCTTGACACACACATACCATAATACAGACAGACCGTGACACAGACACACACACACACGGCACAGACAGACACACACACCATGACACAGAGAGACCGTGACACAGACAGACACACATTACATGACACAGACAGACACACACACCATGACATACAGACACACACACCATGACAAACACACACACACACCATGACACAGACACACCATGACACAGACAGAGACATACACTGACACACAATTTCTACCTGTGGGGAGCTCCTTTGGCGGCCGCAGGAGGAGCAGGCTGTTCTGTCTCTGCTCCCCCTCCCAGCCCACTGCTTATATGACGTCATATTCCGGCCCCGGTCTCATTAAGCGGCACGCTGGGGAGGGGGAGCAGAGACAGAACAGCCAGCTCCCCCTGCGGCCGCCAAAGGAGCTCCCTCTGTGGCCGCCAGAACAGCCAGCTGCCTGCCCAGCCCCAGGTGCCGACGGCCCACCAGGAAATTTCCCAGGATCCCGGTGGGCCAGTCCGGCCCCGGTTGAGGGCCCTGCTCAGTGAGTTTACATGCTAGAGGGTATAGTGACACAGTAACAGAGGGATTGAGGGCCTGCTCAGTGAGTTTACATGAACAGATGGATTGAGGCCCTGCTCAGTGAGTTTATATGTTAGAGGGAGTGGGGTATAGTGATACAGTAACAGAGGGATTTAGGGCCCTGCTCAGTGAGTTTACATGTTAGAGGGAGTGGGGTATAGTGACACAGTAACAGAGGGATTGAGGGCCTTGCTCAGGGAGTTTACATGTTAGAGGGAGTGGGGTATAGTGACACAGTAACAGAGGGATTGAGGGCCTTGTTCAGTGAGTTTACATGTTAGAGGGAGTGGGGTATAGTGACACAGTAACAGAGGGATTGAGGGCCTGCTCAGTGAGTTTACATCTTAGAGGGAGTGGGGTATAGTGACACAGTAACAGAGGGATTGAGGGCCTGCTCAGTGAGTTTACATGCTAGAGGGAGTGGGGTATAGTGACACAGTAACAGATGGATTGAGGCCCTGCTCAGTGAGTTTACATGTTAGAGGGAGTGGGGTATAGTGACACAGTAACAGAGGGATTGAGGGCCTGCTCAGTGTGTTTACATGTTAGAGGGAGTGGGGTATAGTGACACAGTAACAGAGGGATTGAGGGCCCTGCTCAGTGAGTTTACATGTTAGAGGGAGTGG